CCTTGTCCATGTGGATTGAGATGAGTGAATATCGGTCGTGTCTTTTTGTAGCCAGTTGGTGTTCTTGTACTCGTTGTTAGTTTCCTTCCTGTTTGTCCGATGTAGTGTTTCTCACAGTCTCTGCAGGGGATCTTGTAGATGACATTGGTCCTGTTCATAGCAGGGAGTGAGTCCTTAGTTCGGGTGAGCACTGGTCGTACATGTACATTCCACTACGGAGGAACCCCAGAAGTGAGGCAATCGCAACGGACCCCAGAGTTTAAAAACCAGGTGGGAAAACACACCGACGCTTCATCAGAGGCTGCACTGAAGATGTTACCAAGCACGGTAACGAAACATCTACGGAACAACAAACCAGCTCGGCGAGCCAACCAACCTCAACACTCACAACCCGAGCTACAGATCTACTCCAAAACCTTAGAAACCCAAACAGAGCAATATATAATTCACTAACATAGATTCAAATGATATAATGGAGAAGTTTTTCTTTACTCTAGATCAATAACCTGAATGGTCTCTGTCAATCTTTGAGTAACAAGAGATCATGATGAATAAGACCAAAATAAGTTGACCTCAGTCTTCAGACCCTACCATTATTATCATAGGATTACAGTTAAATAGCTTTCTAAAATATTCTTTTCTTCTATTACCGAATTTCAATTGATTTTTCCATTATCATTATTCATTAAACATAATCTTTGTTCACTTGATAGACTTGTGGTTAATCCAAAACTAGCGGGTATAGATTTAAAAGGTGAGATGGGAAAGATTTGAAAAGGACCTGAGGGGTTACCTTTTCACGCAGAGGGTGGTGCATGTATGGAACAAGCTGCGAGAAGAAGTGGTGGAGGCAGTACAATTACAATATTTAAAAGGCAACCGGATGGGTATAATAGGAAGGGCTTAAAGGAATATGGGCCAAATGCTGGCAAATGGGACTAGGTCAGATTGGAACGCGTGGTCTGCACTGACGAGTTGGACTGAAGGATCTGTTTCCATGCTGTATGACTGGCTCTAATTTTTAACAAAAGAATTGAATAGAAGTGGTTTAATTGGTGCCATTACCAATGAAATATGGACTTGTGCCTTGAGTACCTTGAACATTGGCCTTCATTTACACTGCTTGAAGATATAATCTTAACCTCTCAAATTAATAATCAACAGCAATGCTGGCTTCATCAACATATTTAAATATGGGCTTACATGTAAACATAAACATGTACACTTCTACGGTAAACACACGCGAAAGCAATTGCTTGTTCAGAATAATGTGGTAAAAATTGTGGTCAAAAACCAAAAAAGCCAACCCATTTGCTTCATTTGCATGCAGCAACCCAGAAGATAACCTGAAGGTTGCTCACAAGTTATTTCACTGAAGATAATGGGTGAGCACAGCTAACCAAAAAATCTGAGAAGTACTGTACATAGGTTGCATACAACAGGTGTGTAAAGAGGGCATCGCACAACAACCTGCATTTTTCAGCAGCAATATCAGTGTTCTGTCAATACGTCTCAAACAGACAACAACCTCTGCAGACTGCACATGTAATTAAATGCAAAAACCCCAAAGTTGCTGTCAGGAATTCTACAGGTGAATACCCTTTGACTGCAATCAAGTAGAAATCACTGAACCAATGAGAAAACTCTACCAGAAGTTACAATTAGGTTTTTTTCTGATGTATTAAGTTCATAATTACTACTGAACAACTTCATGTCCTGAGAAACTAATTTTATATATGTGGAATGGCAAATTTCACCATTAGTTGACCATTAATCAATACGACTTTCTTCCCTACAGTGCAGCAGGTCATTCAACATATTCAAGGCTGACTTGAATAGAATTTTAAGCAACAAGTGGGTCAAGGGCAGAATGCAAAGTGGAGTCAGAGCTGCAATCAGATCAGCCATGATTTTAATCAAATGGCAGAGTAGGTTCAAGGGGCAGAATCCCAAATTTTGCATACATTATAAAAGTGTTTGTTTCTACTATAATCCCATTTGTATATTGCAATTATTTTGTTAGAACTTTACAAACAGTAAATAAAAAGTGAAAAGTTCAGGATATTTTACTTATTGGTTTGCAGTCTGTGGAAATATTCCAATGTGATTCACTACTTACATCACTGTTACTGGAGCCCTGTAGATTTCCCAAGACTTGCTGCCAGAATAAATTTGCTGTTGAAAAGACAGAAATCCACACCAGAGAGATCCTTAAGTGCTCTTTTTCATTACGAGGTCAACTGTTACTTCAATATTGATCACAGATTCAGGGCTGAAATGTGCTTTCCAACAGCCTCTCTCAATGTTCTACGGCAGTAACCTATTCCATAGTCCACGTTACTTCCTCCTTATTCCTGAATAAGTAATACTTAGCTTTTGTCCCTGTTTATTGAAAACTTCACACATTGAACAATTTCCCCAACGTCAATTCTGTCAATTGCTTTCACAAACTTGCAGGCTTCCCTTTTCCAAAAAAAAAACCATGTCCAATTTAACCTTTCCTCAAATAATAAATTCCTAAAAATTAGAATCAATTTCATTGTTGGCAATGTCACATTTTCCATAATTAGGTTATTAGAACTGTGCTCAATATACCCCTGTTGAATATCAAATTGAATGGCTCAAGGGCCATTATTCATGTTTCTATGTATATAGCCTGTTGGGAATGTATGTCTATACGAAAATCAGTGTACAATTTTTCTCTCATAAAAGAACACAGGCTAGATATTTTAGATTTTTTTTGACATCTGCACTTCAGATTGTTTATTAATATTTATTTTAACATAACATCAGGTTTCTTGGAATAAATGTAGAGATGGTAGGAAATTAACAAGAAACTTGTACGGCAAATCACAATTGAAGACTCAGTGATGTTGCAGCAAAATCCAATAATAAGCATGAGCTGCACTCATTGGTAGGCATAAATGCAGTCTCCAGTAGCAGTGTAAAGAGAGATTCTAGGGCCTACTCTCGGATGCATATCTGTACACTGGTAAAGGACTGGGAATATGGGGTGGTGGTTCCAAGGTCATTGGAGAGGGGTTGAAGTCAACAAGGTGGAGGGAATGGAATAGTGGTTTATCGCTGGACTTTTAATCCAGAGACCCAGGTAATGTTCTTGGGACATGGGTTTGAATCTAGTCACGGCAAATGGTGGAATTTGAATTCAATAAATATCTGGAATTAAGAGTCTAATGATGATCATGAATCTATTGCCGATTGTCGGAAAAACCTATCTGGTTCACTAATGTCCTTAAGGGAAGGAAACTACCAACCTTACATGTGACTCCAGACCTACAGCAATGTGGTTGACTCATAACCTCCCTCTGGGTAAATAGGGATGGGCAATAAACACTGGCCCGAGTCAGCAACGCCCTCATCCAGTGAATGAATTTTTAAAAAAGATGGACAAGAACTGCCTTCCTATTTGGATTTTTCTGTATCAGCCTCTATTTTCCTCCTCCCTTCTTCCCATTCCATAACTGCTTCTACAGTCTCAGGGCAGAATACCAGATTAAAGTAAGTTTCTAATGCAATAGACATTTGTACACTATGCAGTCAGCAAGTACAACTGTGTATATCAGTATGTGTGCATTGGGGGCCTTTGAGACAACAGTTCAGAGTTTTAAACATGGTATCTAATCACAGGTGAACAACTATTTCTAAGTACAGAAATCTGGTTGATGTTTTTGGTTAATCTGGATCTATCTAAAATTAATTCAGGTTATTGTGTATTTCGATAAACTTTTCAATTTTTGTTATGACTCTGGAAATAACGGGGTTTGATTTCTAGAGCCTTGCCCCATTAAGGCTTGACACTTCCCAAATCTTTCCACCATCTACAAGGTACAAATGTGATGGAAATATTTCCACTTTCTTGCATTAATGCTGCTTCAATAATATTCAGAAAGTCCAGCATCATCCCGAACAAAGCAACCTGTTAGACTGGCACTCCATCAACCACTTGAAATATTCACCATAGGCTTACCTTGACTGTAATGTGTACCATCTACACGCTTCATTGCAAAAACACAAAGGCTTCTTCAACAGCACTTCAGAAGCCCACAACCTATACTCTAGAAGAACAAGGACAGCAAGAGCATGGAAATACCACATTTGCATGTTCCACTCTAAATCACACATTTTCCTTACCTGCTATGTCAATATCCTTGAAATGCTCTTAACATTGTTGTGGGTGTACCTACATCACCTGGACCATGGTGCTCCAATAAGGTAGCTCACCAGGACATTCACAAGTTTCAGAAGTCGTATAAAAGAAATGTAGGATATAATCTCTTTTAATATGGTTATCTATATAGGTGCTTCTTTGATTTCCTACACTGCAACGGTGCTTCAAATTACAAAGCATTTTAATTCTGAGATTCTGAAAAGCAATATATTCAGTTCTTTCTTCAATTGGCAAAGGATATTACAAATGCACTAGTTTCCTCCCTTCTGGTACACAAGCAAATTAAAATGCGAAATGCTGACAGGCAATTAAAACCATTCCAAAAAGAATTGCTATTCAGTTATAAACTCAATTGATTCAGGAGTTTAAAGAATACTGAACCAGCTTGACATTATGGAGCCACACCACTGGTGATTTGATCACTGACTTTGAAATGAAGCAGAGTGAACTTCAAACTGTCTGAATGTATTGAGAGTCCACCCTGCTGGTTGATATAGGGTTTGCATCATCAAGTTACTGCCTGTAGCCATATAAGCTTGAATACATAAAAATCAGCCTGAACATGATTATCTGTATCAGTGAATCACATAATGAATAAGTTTCACAAAAACTAATCCTCCAGCTACTCTCATCTCACACTTGCATACTATGTTGATAACACATTAGTTGAAAGATTAATCAACAGTATAGAATGATTGAAAACAGTAGAAGACAAAACAAAAGTTGTAGTTAAGAAACAAAGTTACATAATTTCCAACTTCATGAATATCAAGAGAACAATCACTGAAGCAGAAGTGCAGTTGGTTAATACCTGTGATCCTTTTGGCATTGCAGTTTCATCAACCAACAGAGCCAGTATATTGAAAGCAACCAAAAGGACAGAGATTGTCTGTAAGACATAATTTGATCATTAGAAAGGCTGTGCCAAACATTGTTACTAATAGATTTCATCACATATACAATATTTACTGCATATTAATAATGTTTACATTGGAAATTAAATTATACATATTTGCAAAATAAAATATTATGAAGTTTGAATTATGTATTCAAGCTTTTCCTAAATAAGAGCCAATGTATATTATAGCGTATTTTATATCTTTATTATAATGAAATGTTAAATAGCTTTTGTTTCTTATAGAAACAAAATTATGGCTGTTAAACTGAGCTGTAAAATATTTCGTAATACTATCTTTTCAGCATGCAATCATCCTGATAAAACAATTTATGAAAACAGGTTTGTTTTACTATTGATGTTTCCCTCCTCTTCCAACATTGAACCTTGCCATATCATAAGAATAGATGACTTTATTCAATCACAGGATGAGGGTATCACTGGCTAGGCAGCATTTATTGCTCATCCCTAATTGCCCAAAGAGCAGTTAAGATTCAACCACATTGCCATGGGACTGAATCACATATAGGCCAGACCAGGTAAGGATGGCAGTTTCCTTCCCTAAAGGACATTAGTGAACCAGATGGGCTTTTCTGACAATCGACAATGGATTCACGGTCATCATTAGATTCTTAATTCCAGATATTTATTGAATTCAAATTCGAACGGGATTCAAACCCGGGTCCCCAGAACATTATCTGGGTCTCTGGATTAACAGTCCAGTGATAATACCACTAGGTCACTGCCCACCCTTGCAAATCTTTTTAAATTAATTAAAGCCATGCTTATACAGATTATAACTCAGAGGATAGAAGTACAGGCCCTTGTTAAGCTTATGCTAATAAATTATAATGATAGTGTCATAACCCTATCCATTCTTTCTAACTTCTTCTCCTATTACTAACTTTTAACATTCAATTTTAGAAAAAAGATTTCTGTGAGGAAAGGCTAGGATTCTATGTGAGGTTCATGATTCAGTCAGCCCACCTCTTTCTCCACTGCGTTCCTCCACACTCCCCCCAAACACATTCTCACTCACACACACATGAACAAGGGCAGGGATCAAAAAGCCTGTGTCAAGTCTGCTGGAGGTGTGGTCATGAGACTGAGATACTCACGTCAGCCAGTGGGGTAAAGTACTCACTTCAAGTGTTCAAGTGTTAACATGCCATTAAAGTCACAAGTGAAGGCCTACCCTCTAGTCAGTGCCATGTTTCAAGTAAAACAACTCACTCAGGGCGAGAAGTCAATTAGTGAGTGAGCAAGACAGACAAAAGAAAATAGGTCAGCCAAAGGACTCTTTCTCGCACTTAACGCCAGAATTCAATCATGGTCAAAATGAATCAGAACCACAGGATCTCAAACAACCTGCAAAACTAAATCTTGAGATCAGCTATGTAACAAACATCACCAATGCTACTGATTACCTCCACTGCAATGGCTGCAACATTCTATTTCGAAACTTCATAAACGATTCACAGACTGGTTGGAGATAGCAAGAACTGCAGATGCTGGAATTAGTCAATACAGTGCGGAGCTGGAGGAACAGGAGAGTCAACACTTTGAGTCAGGACCCTTCATCAGGACTGGGGAGGGGGAAGGGCGCTGGGAAATAAATAGAGGCAGGAAGGGTAGGGATGGGGGAAGGTAGGTGGGATGGCGATTGGTGGATGCAGTCAGAGTAGTGGGAATTGGTCAGTGGGAAGGGTGGGCAGATAGATAGGGATGATGATGGAAGGTTGTGTCAGGTCAAGGAGACAGGGATGAGAGGGATGGTTGGACATGGGATGAGGTTGAGATCAAGGTTGGGGAGACTTTGAAACTGGTGAATTCTACGTTCAGGCCATCGGGCTGTCAGCTCCCGAGGTGGAATACGAAGGGTTGTTCCTCCAGTTTGCACGTGGCATCATTGTAGCACTGGACAATCATGCCACCAAGGGAGTGGGAGAGGGAGTTAAAATGGTTAGCCACCAGAAGGTGTCGTTGTTTGTAGCGCACAGAGTGCAGGTGTTCTGCGAATGGTCACAGAGTCTGCGCTTAGTCTCACCAGTGCAGAGGAGGCCACATCGGGAGCAATGGAGACAGTAGACCAGGTTGGAGGATGTACAGGTGAACCCCTGTCGGATATGGAAAGTTTGCTTTGGGCCTTGAAAGTAGGCGAGGGAGGAGGGGTAGGTGCAGGTGTAGCACCTCTGCAGTTGCTCGGAAAGGTGCCAGGTGTAGTCGGGTTGGTGGGGAGTGTAGAGCAGATGAGGGAGTCACGGACCCATACTGGTGCCCATAGCCACCCCTTTAGTTTGTAGGAAGTGGGACTTCATCCTCTGCCACTTCCGCCACCTACAATCCGACCCCATCGACAAAGAGATATTTCCCTTCCCACCCCTATCTGCCTTTTGTAAGGGCCGCTCACTCGGTGACTCCCTCATCCGCTCCACACTCCCCACCTACCCCACCACAGTCGGTTCCTTTCCCTGCAAGTGCAGGAGGTGCTACACCTGCCCCTACATCTCCCTTCTCACCTCCACCCAAGGTCCAAGACAAACTTTCCCAATCCGACAGGGGCTCACCTGTACATATTCCAATTTGGTCTATGTAGAGGCTGCCACACCGGGAGCAGCGGATACATCGGTGAGACCAAGCGCAGACTCAATGACCATTTCATAGAGCATCTGCACTCTATATGCTATGAACAACAACACTTTCTGGTTGCTAACCATTTTAACTCCCACTCCCTTGGTGGCATCTCTGTCCTGGGCCTCTTCCTGTGCCACAATGACACCACCCACAAACTGGAGGAGCAGCACCTCATATTCCACCTTGGGAGCTTACAGCCCAATGGCCTGAACATAGAATTCACCAGTTTTGAAATCTCCCCAACCCCGGCCTCATCCCATGTCCCACCGTCTCTCTCATCTCCGCTTCCTTGACCTGACACAACCAGTCTGTCTTCTTACCCACCTCTCCGCCCCACCCTTCCCACTGACAAATCCCTATTACCCTTACATACATCCACCTATCGTCTATCCACCTACCTTCCCCCAGCCCACCCCCCTTCCTCTATTTATTTCCCAGCTCCCTTCTCTCTCCCCAGTCCTGATGAAGGGTCCCAAGCCAAAACATCGACTCTCTTGCTCCTCTGATGCTGTTTGACCCGCTGTGTTCCTCCAGCTCTACACTGTATTGTCACAGACTGATTCCTATATCTTTTGCTCCAAAATATTTTATCTTTTTTGAACCTTTCCCCTATTTCTCATTTGTGTAAATGCATGTTTGTGATTTTAATTGCTCTGAGGTATAATATGGAAAAAGTTGGGTGTCCAACGAGATTTGGTGGTTCAGGGTGCATAACTCTTGAAATATCACAAACAAGTGCAGAAAATAGTTAAGAAGGCTAATAGAATGCTGGCTTTCATATTTAAAGGGCTGGAGTATCGGGATGCAGGCATTATGCTGCAGTTATACAAAACACTAGCTCGACCTCACTTAAGAGTACTGTCAGCAGATGTGGACACCACGTTAGGATGGATGCTTTGGCTCTGGAGGGGTTCAGAGCAGGTTTACAAAGATGATACTTGGACTTCAGTAGTTATGAGGCGAGATTGTACAGATCAGGTACAATCAGGTTAGATTCTCCAGAATTTAGAAGGTTAAGTGGTGATTTAATTGAGGTCTTCAGGATATTGACAAGGAAAGGCAGGGTAAATAAAGATAAACTATTTCTACAGGTTGAAGACTCTAGAACATGGTATACTAAGAATTAGGGCCAGACCATTCAGGAGGAATGTTAGAAGAAGCAAAGAGTAGTGGAGGTTTGAAACACTCTTCTTCAAATGGTGGTCAATGCTAATTCAATTGTTAGATGCAACTCTGAGCTATGCAATTTTTTTGTTTATTGAGCATGCGTATCAAGGGATATGTGCTTAAGACAGGCATATGGAGTTAGGCCACAGATCAGCTATGAACTTACCAAATGGCAAGTGGGCTTGAAAGGCTGTTCATAAAATCACTCTTTGTTAACTCAAGAAAGCCTGGTCGAGTTGACTATTTTTAAAACTCAAGTTCATTTGGGTCTGGAAGAAAGGTATCCACAAGGAGAGATATCGCTTTTAAATTAACTTTGTTGTAACTAACCAAGGGATTGAAGGACTAAAGAAGGGGAGCCCGTTCACCCCTCTTCACCTAGGAGCTTATCAATCTGTAGATTCCATTTGGATCTGTAACAATTTAGCAGAACACCCTTGATACCAGAGTCTGGGCATAATAACATCAAGTAAAAATGGTCATTCTTCAATTACTTTGAAATTAATGTAATTAGAAGTGTGAAAGTCATACTATCGAAATTCAATAACAACTGGGAATAAACAGACACTTCAATTATCTGCACTAATTTTTAGCAAAAGCAGCTCACCGTTCCTGACAGTAGTATCAGCATGACAACAGGATAAACCAGATTCCGCTCCCATGCAGAAGCTTTCTTGCGTCGTTCTTATGGAAAGAAAACACAAAAATAATTAAGAACTTCTGTTAATGCTAGACTGTTCAAAGTTTTAAACTGAATTCGGGCAAATAAACTAGTAAAAACTGCAACTGAACAGTGTTATTTCTAAAGTTTAATATGAAACAGTGCGCAAGATACTGGGGCAGCAGACAAATTCACACTGAAATCCCTAAAATGCCTGTGAAAATTCAATCCCACATGCAACCAATTAAAGAACATGTCCCATAATTAAAATAGAGGGAAATGTTGAAGAGCTAATCCTCCAAACAGAGGCTGGTTCTCTCCCATACTAAGTTTGTCAGCAGCAAAGACAAATATGAGAGATAAACAATCTGCGATCAGAGAAAAGGCTAGTTAGAAGTCCTATGGTGACAAAGAGGGCATAACTGGGGGATCTGCCTTTGGCAAATGGAGCTGAGACACTTGTTGGTCTGGGGATTGGAGAGGAGGAGGATGATGACACAAGAGGGATGCAGGGAGGAGGAAGACACTGCAAAAGGAGTCGAGGGAAGAAAATGAAACCAAAAGAGGGATGGAGGGGAAGAAGGTGGCTGCCAGAGGGCTTGGGGAAGAGGGCGGCAGCAAGAAAAATTGGGTGGAGGAGGAGTCTGCCAAATAGTTGGCCAAAGAAGAGGGTTGTGCCAGAGTAGTGTGCCTGGAAGATACAAGGAGGAGTGGGAGGTGGCCGCAGGCTTGTGGCGGGAGAGGGAGGTTACAAGAGTGGTGAGGATAGGAATGGGAAGACGGAGACTAAAGTGGTGCGGTGATGGAAAAGGGAGGCTACAATGGGATGAAGAGGGGAGATAAAAAGGTGTAGGGAGGTGGTAGCAGCGAACAGGCAAAGTGGTGCAAAGTGTGCAAAGAAAGAATGGCTATAAACCGGTCAAAAAATAAATATTTAGTGAATTGAGGGTGAAGAAAATGTGAAATCATCAAGTAATAAATTCCTTGCAAGTGATTGTGGAAATTTTATTTTAAAGCTACCCAAATTCAATAGCTATTATATGGGGAAAAATGTCGTTGCTATTGTGATGAATTCACTATGTATCAATTTTCAATTTAAATCTCAATATTGAGATCCGAGGTTCAGAATAAGGGCAGAAACTGTTGGGGTAAGATGTTCCAGCTCTGTGTATATGCATTGGAAATGAATTTACTGTGACAAGACCTGTCCACACAAGGTACGTTTGTAGTATTGCTTTTGTGTGTTCAGAAGTATACATGAGGTCACTTCTGCTAATTTATGTCTGCTGTCACATGCCAATTTAAATGCTTCAATATCTGGGAAATTAAAGCTTTCCTTTGGTATTGTATCTGTATTGTTAATGGAGGACTGATAAATATTGAGGATATTGACAAATTCTTTTAATTCCGCTTCTGCCCCAAAAATCAAAGTAGCCCCTGAAAAAATCTCAAGCAGACTCCTCAGGAAAGAAAAAATATTTTGATTCCTGTTACAGAATGTAGAAATTCCACTGATTTACTACTTCATACATTGGAATGGAGAGCTCTTTATCAATTTATTTAAGGCTCCCAGGTGCCCCTTAACAAACTGTTATGTAAGGGGGAAAAACCAAATCCATATAAGAGTACAAATGGATAAGCTTCATCCCAGTTACCAAAACATGTAATTCCCAAGGAAGGTGTAGCATCTGAGCAATTTCCAAATTACTTTCATCAAGCCCTCCAGTGGTAAAACTGCAAATTACCCAGAAATATTCAACTGGCTGTTTAAAAGTTGAATTCATATTACACAACATTTTAAACAAACAGCTCACATCATCTCTTGCATTAATACGTGTAGGAAAATTACAGTTTAAATGTTTAGACAGCATGTGTTTGAGGCAAATTTTAAACGACACTTGATTCCTAGTCTGTGTTATACATGGCCTGTGAGTGCAGTGTAAATCAGCAGGATTCACATGCCTAACAGATTTGCTTGTTGTTCAGAAAAAACATCTATAATCATTTAAAACATGGCCCTGATATTGATGCTTGTCTTCTGTAATCCATTTTCATTGCTAAGCAACTACTATTTTACTGCATAACATGGCAACAGAAGAAAAAGCAATAATAATTTTGTCATGGAATTCTGCAGAACCTCAGTATCTGTGGAATTTGCAGGTATCCCCTCACGACCCAACTCAACACCCCTGCGCTTGTTTAACAATATTTTCTCCTCAATTTTTCTGAATTTGTTTCCATTTTTGAAGACACAAAAGCTAGAAGTAGCAATTGTTTGTTCTTCATGACTGCTGATTTCTGCAGCTTTTTGTTACTTCAGATTTCCAGCTTTTGCAATTTTCTTTTTACTCAACTGCTGTTTAAACGTAGAACTGTTCTTTTCACTTGAGAAAAATGAACGCAAAAAAATACCAAGTTTTGATCTCTTGCTTCTTACACCATCCAATTCTTGCTCAAGTTCATCAGAATCATATTTCAAATAGGATGTCATATAAGCACCTAAGGGAAGAGAAGAGAGTATTTTTTTTGCTGCTGCACTTTTTCTCTATTTTTTAACATATGATCACGTTTAATTATCCAATCCTTGATTCCTATTAACAATGGAAAGATAACTACAGCAATGCTCAGTTACCACCTGCACACTCCTCCAACAATTCAGGCTTAACTGAAAAAATGACAGATGCAACCGGTCAATCTCATGTTCATGTATTTTAGTTTTCAGAAAGTTGTTCAATAGATGATAAATATGCCACATAACATTAAATACAACTGCTACAAAATTGACAATTCCCTTTCTAAATCGATTTATGGTAGCTGGATGTTAGTTCAATTTGATCTTTTTTTATACTATATTCATTGTAATAACTCAAAGTCAAGGAAGCCATGTTGACACTAAGAAATGGCTGTATTTGTCAAAGCATTGTATTTAGTATCCAGACATGAAGCAGACGATTGCGAAAGTAACAAGTCATTACTGGGTTATACTCCGTGAACATATCAGCAAAACTGGATTTTCATTTAAAAATTAATGTATAATCATTGTATGAGTTTAAGATTTTCTCTCTCATGGGAAACGCCCTTTCATCTGGAATTACACAGGTAAAGGAAACGTTCTCAATCCCTGATAAGGTCCATGATACAATCAAAATCACATTAATGAACATTGAGAAATAGCTCCATTGTATACCTGTATGTGATACTGAAGCAAGATGGTTTCAAGAGAGAAGATACAATCAAAGCCAACAAAAGAAAGGTTGTTAAAGAGATAGTAGGAATTGCTGATGCTGGAGAATCTGAGATAACAAGGTGTACAGCTGGATGACCACAGCAGGCCAAGCAGCAGAGGAGCAGGAAAAGAAAGGTACCTGGTTTTCTGTACTGAAAACAAAAAAATGCTGGATATCACAGAAGGTCAGGCAGCATCTGCGGAGAGACAACAAGCTGCAGTTTTCAGTACAGATTCCAGTATCTGCAGTAATTTGCTCCTCCATTTTATTTAATTGACTGCCGTGTGTCTTCAAGGAATGCCAAACCTGAAGAAGTTTTGCTCTTCCTTCCGACAGGAATTCAGGTTTTCTCTTTCACCATGTAAATGCCGCCCCCTCCACACTTCATGTCAGTTCTAATGAAGAGTCATTTATACTCGAAACCTTAGCTTGCTCTTTCTCCACATATGCTCCTGACCTGCTGCTATTTCCAGCATTGTTTTTTTGTTTTCAGTATTAAACTATTATAGCCTGTGATCATCATGGAGCATTTGTAAAGAGGACTTCTATAAGCTTTCATTGCTCGCCAGACGTTAGATTACAAACTCTGGATGAATCTCCGCAAGTGGGCTCGCAACCAGACCTGAGAGGGTGGATCCTGTAAAGTACAATTCAATGGAATGGTAATGGATAATGAATAAGGCTGTAGAAGTCATTGTCCTAACTTCAGATTTTTTCCTAAAAAAAAGCTTTCATAAGTTTACAATCCAATCAGTTTTAGATTAATTGGTTAGGTCTCACCTTAGACTTAAGTAGACCTCAACCCCTGTCAAATTACTCATAATTGGACTAGTTATCTGAACTATCAAATAGTTTGAATTCTCTGCCCTAATGACAATTATGGCATCATCCAAGTAAAATATATATTATCTAATAACACTATAGGCTTTTCCATTTGATTATCTCAAAACCAACAAGTTAACTATATATTGTAGACATCTTGGAGGCATGTAAGTTGCATGCATAAGCTGATCTTTTCTCAATAAATTTGACTAATATGGATAACGTTCGTGAAGCCCTCCAAAATATTGTGCTCAAACTCCCTAGAATAGGTCCAAACACTTGTACCCTCTTTTAGGGCTATTTCATAATGCAAACAGAAAGCTTTTAACTGGTCATATACACCAATAACACGCAATCTTAGAGAAGTCGTAAATGGTGCTGAACATTGTGCAATCATTGGTGAACATCCCCACTTCTGATAGTACGATGGAGAGAAAGTCATTGATGAAGCAACTGAATATGATTAGGCCTATGACACTAGCCCTCATGTGGCACAGTGGTAGTGTCCCTATGCTTGGACCGAGGGGCCCAGCTTCAATCCCACCTGCTCCAGATGTATAGTAACATCTCTGAACAGGTTGATTAGAAAAATAAGTCTAATTTAAAAAAAACCCAACCCCAAAAGAGCCCTCTTGTGACACAATGGTAGTGTCTCTACCCCCGGACCAAGGCACCTGGGTTCAAGTCCCACTGCTTCAAAGGTGTGATGACATCTCTGAACATTACGCTTAGAAAAACAGACTTAAAAAAGTGGACAGCAATAAGGTTACTTACTTGATTCTTAATGGGGCTCCTGTAGATCAGTGGTAATGTCCTTACCCCTGGGCCAGGAGACCTGGATTCAAGTCCCACCTGCTCCAGCAGTATACAATACCATCTCTGAACAGGTTGATTATTTTTTATCTAACCTATTTTTCTAAAGTATTAAAAATTTACCCAAGAAACATGGAGGGCTCTTATGGCACATTGGTAGTGTCCCTACCACTGGACCAGGAGACCCAGCTTGAAGTCCCACCTGTTCCAAATGTACAGTAACATCTCTGAACAGGTTGATTAGAAAATAGGCTAAATAATTTTATTCTCTTAAATATAACCCAAGAAACATGCCGAGATGGCGTGGAGTTCAGATGACCGACCTATACCAACTTTCAGTAAGATGGCACTGGAATACGTCTTCCCAGCCCAGGGCATATCTGTTCCATCAGCTTTTCTTTTTCTTTTCTTTTACTTCTCTCTTTTCTCAAATTTTTTTTCTTTTTCTCCTCTCTTGTTGAAGAGATGACTCGCGATGACACCTAGTGAGACCAGCGCAGACTTGGGGCAGCGGCGTCAGTGGCAAGTTTGGGTTCTTAACAGTGTCTCCGTCCAGCATAGATTCACAGAGGCAGCAGAGGCAGGTTTGGGCCCAATGCGAGACCCGACGGCATCAGCAGCAGCTGCATCGGCAAGGTGGGCCTGGAGCGGACTCATAGCAGCGGCGGAGTGGAGTTTGAGCCGGTGCAATACCTGGTGGCATCACTGGCATTGGTGAGGTCCAGCGAGGAGTCAGTGCCGTGGATGTCAGTGGAGGCTAGGTGGCACCGAAGATTGGTAACTTTTACTCCAGCTGCTGTATATTTCAAAAAGGACTTCTCTCATTCTTCTAATCTCCACTGAGTACAGGCCTAACCTGATCAACTTTGTCTAATCAGAAAATCCCTTCATATCAGGGAACAACCAACTGAATTTTCTTGCAACTGCTTCTGATGTACATCTTTTCTTAGATGAGAGGACCAAAACTATTCACAGTACTCCAGCTGTGATCTGATGAATGCCTTTGCATAGCTTTTTGCAAGACTTCCTTAGTTTTAAACACTATTCTCTGAAATAAAAGCCAACTTTCCACTTACCTTCCCTTTCGTTTGCTGAACTTTCCGTGAATCAAGCACAAGGCCTCCAAATCCCTCTGTGCAGCAACTTTCCATTGTCTTTCTCCATTCTATCCTTCTTGTCAAAGTGTATAACTTGACATTTTCCCATAAATTTGCAGACAATACAAAGATAGGTAGAGAGATGGGTAGTATTGAGGAGGCAGGGAAGCTACAGGAGGATTTGGACAGGTTAGGACAGTGGGCAAAGAAGTGGCAGATGGAGTACAACATGGGTAAGTGTGAGGTCATGCACTTTGGTAAGAAGAATAAAAGCATGGACTATTTTCTAAATGGGGAAAAAAAAATTGAGAAATCTGAAGTGCAAAGAGACGTGGGAGTTCTAGTCCAGGATTCTCTCAAGGTGAACTTGTAGGTTGAGTCAGTAGGAAGGCAAATACAATGTTGGCATTTATTTTGCAAGGATTTGAATATAAAAGCAGGGATGTACTTCTGAGACTCTAAGGCTCTGGTCAGGCCACATTTGGAGTATTGTGTGCAGTTTTGGGCCCCATATCTCAAGAAGGATGCACTGGCCCTGGAGCGGGTTCAGATTAGGTTAATGAGAATGGCCCCAGGAATGAAAAGCTTAACATATGAGGAACGTCTGAGGACTCTAGGTCTATACTCGATGGAGTTTAGAAGGATGAGGAGGGATCTCATTGAAACTTCAGAATCCTGAATGGCCTGGGCAGAGTGGATGTTGGGAAGATGTTTCTATTGGTAGGAGAGACTAGGACCCGAGGGCACAGCCTTAGAGTAAAGGGAAGACCTTTTAGAACAGAGATAAGGAGAAACTTCTTCAGCCAGAGACTGGTGAATCTGTGGAACTCACTGCCTCAGAAGGCTGCGGAAGCCAGGTCATTGAGTACATTTAAGACAGAGATAGATAGGTTCTTGATTGTCATGGGGATCAAGGGTTAAAGGGAGAAAGTGGAAGAATGGGGTTGAGAAATTTATCAGTCATGATTGAAATGGCGGAGCAGACTCAAAGGGCTGAATGGCCTAACTTATGCTCCTATGTCTTATGGTCTCATTATATTCTATCTGCCAAGTTTTTGTCCATTCACTTAACCTGTTTATATGCCTCTGTAGGCTGTGTCTTTGCTCTCTTGCCTATTGTTGCGTCATCCACAAACTTGGCTATAGTATGTTCACTTCCTTCATCCAAGTCATTAATATACAGTGTAAATAATTGCGGCCCCAGAACTGATCACTGTGACACTCTACTAGTGACAGGGTGCTCTCCTGAAAATTCCCTTGTAGTGGTGGTGCTGAACCATACTTAGTGATGGACACTGAAATCCTCCACTAAGAATACATGCTCTGCCTTTGCCATCCTCAGTACTTCTTCCAACATGAGTAGTACTGATTCATTAGCATGGCTTTTGTTTGGGGGTTGGGGGCGGGGGGAGGATAAAGAAAGAGAGACAGAGGAAGACACTTGTTTAACCCAGTGCCATAAAACTTTGTGAACTCCAGAGTCAACGCTGAGGATAGCCAGGGCAACCCCAGCCTGACCATATACCATTGTGTCACCATGTCTACTGGTTCTGTCCTACTGGTTGGACAAGACATACCCAGGGATGGAAATGGTATTATCTGGGACACTGTGTATAAAAAGTGTGAACAGAATGGTTAAGTTAGGTTGCTTCTCAATTAGGCTGAGAGAACGGTCTCCCAATTTTAAATAAAAATCAAAAGAACTGCGGATGCTGTAAATCAGGAACAAAAAGAAAGTTGCTGGAAAAGCTCAGCAGGTCTGGCAGCATCTGTGGTGGAGAAAACAGAGTTAACCTTTCGGGTCCGGTGACCCTTCCTCAGAACTGATGGAAGCTCTCCCAATTTTAGCAGGAGCCCTCACAGTTGTTAGGAAAGAGGATTTTGAAAGGCAAACAAGGCTGGGTTTTCCATGATTATTCTGGTGTCTAATTAATGCCAAGTTGTTTGCCTGGTTTTCTTTCTTTCTTGAAACTTTTTCTAGCGATTAGATACAACTGAGTGGCTTGTTAGGCCCCTTAGGTGCATTGAATCACAGGTACATCGGAACAGGTAAGGATGGCAGATTTTCTCCCTAAAAGACATTAATGAACCAGATGGATTTCTGCAACCACCAACAATCCAAATTTTTATTTAAAAAAAGTTCAGATTCCATCAAGATTGGAACCCAGGTCCCCATGCATTTATATGGGTGTCTGGATTACAAATGCAGCAACAATACCGCTATGCCATCACCTCTCTTCTTCCTTCCCCTACCTTTACTCTGTAATTCTGTAACTGATTTATATTTTTCCTGCTTGAATGCCTCAATTGGCATGCTTTCATTACATTTCCGAGCAGTGGTTTACAGTCCTGAACCACTTGCTGTGGGAAAAAATGTTTATTCTTCCAATCCAATTTCTTCTTTTGCAAATCACTAAATCTGTACTCTCTTGTCCTTGATCCATTTACAAGCAGGAACAAGTTCTCCCTGCCCTGCACAGACCTTTCATGATTTTGAATACTTCAAACAGCTCTCCTCTCAGCTTTCTCTTCAAGGAGAACAGTCACAACTTCGCCAATCTAACTTTTTAACTATAAATCCTCATCCCTGGAACTATTCTTTTGCACTGTCGCCAATGTATTTACATGTTTCCTCAGTGTGGCACCCAGAACTGTACACAATACTCCAGCTGAGATCTAATTAGTGTCTTATACATCTTCAGTATAACGTCCCTGTCCTTGTACTCTCTGCCACAATAATTAGGACCAGATATCCTAAATTAATCCGGTCCCATTTGCCAGCATGTGGCCCATATCCCTCTAAACCCTTCCTTTTCAAATACCCATCCAAATGCCCTTCAAAAGTTGTGATTGTACCAGCCTCCACTGCTTCCCTTGGCAGCTCATTCCATTCACGTAACACCCTCTGCATGAAAAAGTTGCCCCTTAGGTCCCTTTTAAGTCTTTCCCCACTCATCTTAAACCTATGCCATCTACTTTTGGATTCTCAACACCCCCACCCCTACCCAGGGGTAAAAACCTTGGCTATTCACCTTATCCAGGTCCCTCAGCCTCCAATGCTCCAGGGAAAATAGCCCCAGACTATTCAACTTCTCCCTATAGCTCAAACTCTCTAACCCTGGCAACTTCCTTGTGAACTTTTTCTTGAAGCCTTTCAAGTTTCACAATATCCTTCCTGTAGCGGGGAGACCAGAAGTGAATCGTGTATTCCAAAAGTGGCCTAACCAATGTCCTGTACAGCTGCAACATGACCTCCTCACAGTTTACAATGCTTCTAAGTACACAAAATTTGAAATTGTCCCCTTCACTCCAAGATCTAAGTCATTTACATAAATCAAGAAAAGCAAGGGGCCTAATATCAACTTTTAAAAAATTCCACTGTATCTAATACCTTTACAAAGTCCATGTAGATTACACCAATGGCATTACCTTCATCAATCCTCAGTGATTTCTTTAAAAAACTCCAATATTCACAATAAGTAATAGATTTTATGATTTAAGTGTTGCAGCTTACAAGTATTACACTGGAAGAACAGCTATTTATTTTACTTATTTAGACAAATATAATTCAAGTCACAAAAGATAGTGAATCAAAAGAGATTATCAAGTACATGAAACGAGCATCCACTTTTCCTACTTCTTACTTACGCAGCCTGCCCTAAATGTGCACTGAATTAACACAACAAATGACAGGATTAGAGTCCCTTACTTCTGCCAGCCATATGGATCCTGTCAAATCACCTTGGATGGTTTCAACCCAGCGCCAACTGGCAACAAGCCCACAACTTGGCAATTATAAAGAGAGGAAGCACAACATAGCAAGCTAGAATAAGACAAAGAAAACCAAAACTGATTGAATTGCTATTGTTGAATGAATAAATTAATACTATTACTACAAGGCTACTGCAGACAATAATCCTATTTTTTCACAACTAACTTCATGAAGCATTCTAATAACAATGACGAGGACTGAAGCTGCATGGGAACATCACTACCTGCACGCTCCCCTCCAAGATGTACTCAATCTTGATTTGAAACAATATCACTGTTCCAACCAGAGGGTTCTGAGACATCACTCATTTGCATTCTGAGAGTGGACTTCGCTAAAATCATCACTGGATCAAGATCGTGATTGGACATCGGAGGACTGTTGGTTGAGCTGATCTACTGTTGGTGGATCTTTAAGCTGGCTTTAGCCTAATGCCAATTCAGGGAAAATGCCAATCTAGAGCTATGGCCTCAACAAGCACCCGCGCCCCAGGCCAGGGAGTCCGCAACACAGTCAGGATGACTGTAAAGAAGGTGGAAGAAGGCACACCGGTCAATCGGACCTTTTTTGAGAAGGGGATTCTATTGGACCGCTGTGGGTTCCAAGCAGCAGACATCTACTGCCTGTGGGACTTCCCCAGCGAGGGTTATTCGAAGTGCCCTTCAGGAGCAAGAAGTAATGCGAGTGCCTCCTGAAGATTTGGGGAGAAAGAAGGTGAAGGTCCCTTCTCAGTCCTGTCAGCAGCACCATTGTCATTGTTCTCCCTGCACAGAGGAGCCAGGTTATTACAATCCATCTGTACAACCCCCACATCCTGGCAGATGCCCTGACCTTCCTGGGAAGGTATGTGCAATTTGAAGGAGGCAGCACCGATGTAGTGAACCCCTTCAGAACCTGGATCAGCAAGCAGCAAGTCAAAGTGACCCTGAAGGTGGACGCCAATGGGAACATCCTCCAGTTTTGCAATCGGAGGGAGCTGAGGCTATCCGACATATACAGGGTAGCCTCAAAAGGGTACATGGCAGCGGACTGCAAGGTAACCCTCTGCAGGAACTGCAAACACGAGAGCCACCTGACTAACGACTGCAAGGAGTCCAAGGGCTGCAACCTGTGTAGGGAAGCAAACCGCCTATACAAGACCTGCCCAAGTTTATTTTGGGGGAGGTGGTGATGGCGCCATATGCTCATATGGCTGGAAGTGGCAATCTCCCAGCAGAAAAACTGAAATGAGGGGTACCCAGGAGGAAGGACAGGCCGGAGAGGTGGGAAAGGTAGCCAGCGCCGA